CCTGGCCGCTCCCAAGCAGAGGTGAGTCCTCGGCCTGGAATGGGTCGGGGGCGGACTGGGAGGAGGCGCGGGGAAGTCGGAAGGCACGAGGATACTGGGGTCGGCTGGAGACCCCTGGGAGAGCCCTGCCAGAGTGCGGCCCGCCCCGGTCTGCTGTCCTAGGCCTAGGGCCCGGTGACTTGGCGATGGAGTGGAGGGGCAAGGAGGAGGATGCCGGGGGCCGCGCCTGGTCGCCTCTGCGCGGTCCCCGCGGACACTTTCAGACTCAGGTACCAGGTGCCGAGGGGCTTGCCTCAGGATCTTGGAAGGAGGGTCGCTGCTCCCCAGGACTGGCATCTTCGCTCCTCCGGGGCCTAGTGACCGTTCCACCCGGTGCCAGGGCGCCGAGTGGGCACGGCTTATCGGGTTTGGGAAGAGGATTCTTTCCAGCCCCTTAGCCCGGGCCTAGGTGGCCAGGTACCGCTCACGCCAGTGCTGTTGCCACCAGAAGCCCGGCCGAGCGGGAGGGAGCCGGGAGGAGCCAAGAGGAGAGAGAATTGGCCAGGAAAGAGACTGGGACACCAACTCCTCCTTGGAACTTTCACTTCCCGCTGCTGTCTTGGGCCGGGGGCCGAGAGGGCAGGCGCGGGTGGAGTGTCCGGAGGAGAGAGGGCCATTGTGTGTGGGGAGGGTACTGGGGGAGGAAGCAGAGGTTGTGGGGAGTGGGTGTGTCTGGCTGGGCATGAGGGGTGTTTAGGGTGGGGGTGTTTGCACTGCTCACCCAGAAATGGGCGTTCCTGGCATCTCTGTTGTGAGGGAAGAGGAGGGTGAATGGGCACCCGGCCACAGGGCTTAGCTCAGTCTCAAGAGTGGGCGTTCCTGGGGGGGGGAGTGATTGAAAGGGAGTGGGAACAGGGGAGGGTACCTGTGAGAATCTGGGATTGGCGGGAGGGGGACAAGGAAAGACCACAGTCTGGGCAAGCTGAACTTCTTTCTCTGGGGACTTGTGGATGGGTTGGTGGGTGGAAAGTCACACGTTGGAGAGAAGCCCCTCCCTCCAGTAGTCTCCTTTAAATCCCAGCATGCAATGCAGGAGACCTTCAGGCACCTAAGGGCCTTGATGTGCTGGGAGCTTGTGGGTCTGAGAGCTCCAGCCACGCCCAGCTTTGGTGTCGATTCCCTCAGCACTCTCTTGGGGTGTCCTGGGACCTTGCAGGTGGCACCGAGAAGCAGCAGCCGAGGTCAGAGAGGGCCCTAAGTGGGCCCTTGGGGCCAGAGATCCTTCAGGATAACTTCCCAGTTAGCCCAGCAGAGGTGTTTCAGGTGAGCTCCCCTCTGCCTGGTGGTAATAGATCAATGTACCCACCCCCACTCCCGCCCCAAGCAGAATCAGGTGTCTCAAGGCCAGAGCTTGCCAGAGCTAGTGAGTAGACCTCACCGCAGCAGGTCTGTTCCAGGCTGGGCTGCCCCTCCCACCACACCCGGGCACCTGGCTTCGCTTATCTCCCTCTCCCCTCCACACACATCTGTCTGCCTCAACCCCACCCAACTCCTCCATCTCCACTGGGGAAATTCTGAAGCCAACTTGCTTTCTTTGTCTCAGGCTGTCAGTTTTCTCTGTGGGGGGATTTAGAAAGGGTCAGGGCCCCACCAACTCCCCCCGCCCCATTCTAAAGCTGAGTCAGAGGAAGGGCTGGGGCCTGTGCTGGGTCCTCTATGATGCTTCCTCTCTGGGCAGGAAGCCGAGAAGGGGCGGCTCAGATGCCTTCCTTGACCTCCCCATACAACCCCCCAGAACAATGCCCCAGGCCAGGCAGGGCTTCCTGGCCCTTCCCTCAGGATCCCCCCACCAGTGACCTAATCATTGGTGCTCTCCTGAGAGCCTGAGGTTTGCTGGTTGGAGAGGGTAGGAGTTGCTGGCAGGTCTAGGGAGGTGACATGCCCTCTGGTGCCCACAGACCAGTCTGCCTGAGCCCCTAAGGATCAAATTGGAGCTGGATGGTGAGAGTCATGTCCTGGAGCTGCTGCAGAACAGGTAATAGTGGCAGTGGCGGTGACAACAATCACGTGGCTAGCAACTTGTATTTCATTTACTGTGTGCTGGGTACTAGTGCTTGCACTTATTTAATTCTCATAACAACAATCATATCATGTATTACAGTCTTCATTTTGTATATGAGAAAGTCAAAGCACAGAGAGGTTACATAACTTGCCTAAGGTCACAAAGCTAACATTTGGTGAAAATCAGATTGGAATCCAAGTGTCCTGGTGGGTCAGTAGCCCAACCACTGTACTGTGCAGCCAGAAAGTTATGGGGAATGGGTGGGGGTGGAGAATGGGAAGGTTGGGGGTTTGCCTGGTTTCAGCCCCACCACCACCTTTAGGCCTCAGCTTGCCACAGCATCAGGCTGGGAGGTGGCCCAAGTGCTGTCTTTCTCTACAGGGTGTTGGTCCCAGGCCGCCCAACCCTGGTGTGGTACCAGCCCGATGGCACCCGGGTGATCAGTGAGGGGCACACTCTGGTGAGTCAAGCCCTCTTGTGCCTTGTTTCTGGACTGGGCAAAAGAGGGAGGGAGCAAGCAGTGGGTGTCAGCCCTGGAGGTTGTGAGAAGACGTTGCCTGTCTTTACCATCAAGCTAGACTCCTGGGTTCAAATCCTGGTCTACATTTCCAGATAGCACGAATGTTGTTTCTCTGCTGTAGGAGGATTGCTGCTACCAAGGAAGAGTGCAGGGACACCTGGACTCCTGGGTGTCTGTGTGCACCTGCTCTGGACTCAGGTACCACGGGTGGAGTCCATGACAGTGGAGAGGGCAAGGGGATGCCAGGCATGGAGCAAAAGTGTTCTCCAACTTCCTGTCTTTTTCCTTAGGGGCCTGGTGGTCCTGTCCCCAGAGAGAAGCTACACCCTGGAGCAGGAGCCTGGGGACCTTCAGGGTCCTCCCATTGTCTCCCGCATCCAAGACCTGCTCCTGCCAGGGCACACCTGTGCCACGAGTTGGCATGCATCTGTGCCCACTCAGACTCCACCAGAGCTCCCCCTGGGACAGCATCGCATTCGCCGCCGGGTGAGGACAGATGGCAGGAGGGCTGGGCTTCGGTTTCATGAGACCTGACCTCTGACCCTCAGAGCCATGTGCTCATAGTAACAACAGCTCTTGCTGGTGGAACGGTTTCCCCATGCCGTTATCTCATTGACTCTTGCCAGCAGCCCTGGGAGGTAGGTGCTATCAATAGCTCTATTTTAAAAGGAAGAGGCTGGGTGCAGTTGTTCACACCTATAATCTCAGCACTTTGGAAGGCTAAGGTGAGAGGATTGCCTGAGTTCACGCAAGGTTCGAGACCAGCCTGGGCAACTTGGTGAGACCTCATCTCTACAATAAATCAAAAAATTAGCCAGGTGTGGTAGTACGTGCCTGTGGTTCCAGCTATTTGGAAGGCTGAGGTGGAAGGATTGCCTGAACCCAGCAGGTTGAGGCCGCAGTGACCATGAGTATGCCACTGCACTCCAGCGTGGGCAATAGAGAGAGACTCCAACTCAAAAAATACATAAATAGGGCCAGGCTCGGTGGCTCAGCCTGTAATCCTAGCACTTTGGGAGGCCGAGGTGAGTGTATTGCCTGAGCCCAGGGGTTCGAGACCCGCCTGGGCAACTTGACGAGACCTCATCTCTGCAATAAATCAAAAATTAGCCAGGCGTAGTGGCACGCACCTGTAGTTCCAGCTACTTGGAAGGTTGAGACGGAAGGATCGCCGGAGCCCAGCAGGTAGAGGCTGCGGTGGCAGGAGCGGCCACTGCACTCCAGTCTGGGCGACAGAGTGAGACTCCAACTCAAAAAAAAAAAAAGCACATAAATAAAATGAAGAAACCAGCTCAGAGAGGTTAGGTGACTTGCCGAAGGCCACACACCTAATATATGGTAAGGATTCAGAAGGAAGTATTTGGCTCAAACTCCTCATCTGTCTCATGATCTTATTTGCAGAGAGCTCTCACTTGGTTATAGATAATACACAGCTATCGATTATGAAGCAACAAAAACCCAACTTCCTGATCTCTAAAATGGGGATAAAGAAATAAAACTCCTTGCTTCATAGTATTGTTGGGGAGATTAAATCCATATGCATGTAAAGGACACAGTTCTACTGTGCTGGGCATATGGTAAGCACTTGATAGTAGTGGATATTGTTATTTCTTATTATTATCATTATCTTTTTTTTTTTCTGAGTTAGGTGTCTTACTCTGTCACCCTGGGTGGAGTGCAGTGGCATGCTCACAGCCACTGCAGCCTTAACCTGCTGGGCTCAGGTGATCCTTCCACTTCAGCCTCCCAAGTAGCAGGAACCACAGGCATGCACCACCACGCTCAGCTAACTTTTTGATTTATTGTAGAGACAAGGTCTTGCCAAGTTGCCCAGGCTGGTCGCGAACCCCTGGACTCAGGCAATCCTCTTGCCTCCGCCTCCTAAAGTGCCAGGATTGTCACTGTCTAATCATCATCTTTTAATTTGGAAAAAAACACTGAGTTTGGAGCCAGAAAAGCAGGATTGCACTTCCAGCTTCTTCATCTACTCCTTGGCAAGCCCCTGGCCCCTCTGGCCCTAAATGGTTCATCTGTAAAATGGGCTCTTCACCCTCCTCCGTTTGACCCCACAGGGTGGGAGTGGACACATCTCGGTCAGCTCTACGCTGACTGGCCATGAGTGGCAGATTTGCCTGATATTCCTCCTCCTTGTCCATAGCGGAGGCGGGATGTGGTGACAGAGACCAAAACTGTTGAGCTGGTGATTGTGGCCGATCATTCCGAGGTGAGCCTGCTGGCCCCGGCACATCCTTCGCCCCACCTGCCTTGCCGCCTTTCATGGTCGCCCTCTGGGCCCACAGGTCCAGAGATACCCCGACTTCCAATACCTGCTGAACCGAACCCTGGAAGTGGCCCTCCTGCTGGACACGGTGAGTGTTGGGCAGGGTAGCCCGACAGCCTCTGGCCATGGCAGCCCCCCTTCTGGACCACAGCAGCCCCGCTCTGAGCCCCAGCTCTCTTTCAGCTCTTCCGGCCCCTGAATGTCCGTGTGGCACTGGTGGGCCTGGAGGCCTGGACCCAGCACGACCTGGTGGAGATCAGCCCAAACCCAGCTGTCACGCTAGACAACTTCCTCCACTGGCGCCGGGTAGACCTGCTGCCTCGGTTGCCCCATGACAGTGCCCAGCTGGTGATGTAAGACCCCAGACTCAGCCAGTGAGGCCTGGCTCTCCCCCCTGTCCTTGCCAAATTCACACCCCTTCAGCTCCCTCCCGCAGGCCCTGAAGCTCTGACCACCACAGCATTTGGCCCTGACCTTTGCCCTCTCTGTCCCACAGTGGAACTTCATTCTCTGGGCCTACGGTGGGCATGGCCATTCAGAACTCCATCTGTTCCCCTGACTTCTCAGGAGGTGTGAACATGGTGAGTGCTTTCCAGGCCTCCTCCCCATTCCCCATTCAGCTCTTCCCAAGCGCAGCACCTGTTAGTCACTGAAATCCCCTACAAAGTTGCCCAGCCCCAAAGCTGTGGGTATGGGGGGTTGTATGATGTGGCCTCTGCTATCAGGGAGCCCCTCCCTTGGGGCCAGCTTATCACTGTGTACCCAGTCTTCACCTATGCAGTCTCCCCATTTCTTGGAGGAGGGTAGGGACAGCTGAGGCCCAAAAATCAGAGTTGACCTCCAAGGGCCATATAGTGAGGGTGGGGAGCAGAGCTGAGCTAGGACCGAGGTTTTCTGCCTCCCAGACCTCGGCTTTCCTCCTACTTGAGAAGCAGTTAAGGAGGAGGCAATGCCCATGAGTGCCCAAAGGGTCAGCTGAGGAGGGGATAGGAGCAGACAGGGTGGACTCAGCATGATGGTGGGTCCAGACCTGGGGTGCCCCTTCCCAATGGCAGGACCACTCCACGAGCATCCTGGGAGTTGCATCCTCCATAGCCCACGAATTGGGCCACAGCCTGGGTCTGGACCACGACTCACCTGGGAACAGCTGCCCCTGTCCAGGCCCAGCCCCAGCCAAAGGCTGCATCATGGCGGCCTCCACAGAGTGAGTTGCTGCAGGATGTGGAGGGGGCTGGGCTGGGCCAGAGAGAGGTCACAGCCCCAACCTTCCTTGCCGCCTTTCCCAGCTTCCTGCCAGGCCTGAACTTCAGCAACTGCAGCCGCCAGGCCCTGGAGAAAGCCCTCCTGGATGGGATGGGCAGCTGCCTCTTTGAACGGCTGCCCAGCCTGCCCCCTACGGCCACTTTCTGTGGAAATATGTTTGTGGAGCCGGGCGAGCAGTGTGATTGTGGCTTCCCAGATGTGAGCCCCTCACCCAAAGCCTGGCCCCGCTCACTCCTGTGCCCTCATCCTGGTTTATTACCCTCTGCCAGCCTTCTGAGTGCCTCTCAGTTCTGCAGGGACCTCCTGCCCTTGCCCAACCTGCCTGTCTGCAGGGACAGCACGTGGATCACTGGGCTCTTGCTCTCACTTGCTGGCATCCTTTGGGCCGTGGCTTTGGGCATCCTTCTGGGTCTTGTCTCTGGGAGGAGGGGTTGGAAGTAGGCCCTCGGGCCCAGCTGGCTCTGATGCTCGGCCCCTCTGTGCCCACAGGACTGCATTGATCCCTGCTGTAATTCTTCTACCTGCCAGCTGAGGCCAGGGGCACAGTGTGCATCTGATGGACCCTGTTGTCACAGTTGCCAGGTGGGTGCAGACTAGACCGGCCATGCAGAGCTCACCTGCCGGGGGCCAGAGTGGAAAGGGTCATTCCTGACCCCCCAGCACCCAAACTGATGCTTGTCCACCCTCCACAGCTGCGCCCGGCCAGCTGGCAGTGCCGCCCTACCAGAGGCAACTGTGACTTGCCCGAGTTCTGCCCGGGAGACAGCTCTCAGTGCCCACCTGATATCAGCCTGGGGGACGGCGAGCCCTGTGCTGACGGACAGGCTGTGTGCATGCATGGGCGTTGTGCCTCCTATACCCAGCAGTGCCAGTCACTCTGGGGACCCGAGGCCCAGCCTGCTGCACCCCTCTGCCTCCATACTGCCAACACTCGAGGGGATGCCTTTGGGAGCTGTGGGCGCAGCCACAAAGGCAGCTACGTGCCCTGTCCCCCTCGGTAAACGGGGTAACCCACTCCTCCTCTGGGTTTGTGGAGCCTTGGCCCTGCTCCCACTGACCCTGCATGGCCTTCCCCCTTTCTCCTAGAGATGCCATTTGTGGGCAGCTCCAGTGCCAAGGCGGTGGGGCTCAGCCCCTGCTGGGCTCAGCTCGAGATCTGCTCTGGGAGACACTGGAAGTGAACAAGACCCAGCTGAATTGCAGCTGGGTACACCTGGACCTGGGCAGCGATGTGGCCCAGCCCCTCCTGGCTCTGCCTGGCACAGCCTGTGGCCCTAGCCTGGTGAGCATCCTAGGTGGGGACGATCATGTGGGAAGGGACATCTGGGCCATGGTGAGCAGCCCCAGACCTTACCATCCACCAGTGTGAAAGGCATAAACTCTGAGGGAAGTCAGATTCTTTTTTGTTGTTTTTTTGAGTTGGAGTCTCACTCTGTTGCTCAGGCTGGAGTGCAGTGGCATGCTTCCTGGCCACCACAGCCTCAACCTGCTGGGCTCAGGTGATCCTTCTACCTCAGTCTTTCAAACAGCCAGTACTAAAGGCATATGCTACCACACACCCAGCTAATTTATTTATTTATTTATTGTAGATACTAGGTTTCACCATGTTGTCCAGGCTGGTCTCGAACCCGTGGGCTCAGGCAATCCTCTTGCCTCAGCCTCCCAAAGTGCTGAGATTATCGGCTTGAGCCCGGCCGGAAGTCAGATTCTTACTTCAGATGAAGCAGTGTCCTGTCATCCCACTGTGCCTTGGTATCCCCCTCTGCAAAAGCAGAGCATGGCCTCAGCCTTGCTGACTTCCCAGTCCTGGTAAAGCCTCTCTCCCTATGGGGCAGGTGTGCATAGATCGTCGATGCCAGCCCGTGAATCTCCTGGGAGCACAGGAATGTCGAAACAAATGCCACGGACATGGGGTGAGCTGGGGTGGAGGAAGTGGAAGGGAGCAGGGAGCCTCCAGGGAGGAAAGGGATGATGGCTTTGGAAACAGACGTATCTGGGTTCTAATCCTTGCTCTACCACTTCCTAGTCGTGTGACCTTGGGCAGGTTATTAAATTCCCTGAGCTCAGTTTCCTCATCTGTCAAATGGGCATAATTATAATACCCGCTTCTGGGGGTGTGTGAGTATGGAAGTGTCTAACATGGTGCCCAGCAGAAGGTGCTTAATAAGTATTAATTTGATGAAACTTCCTCTGGCGTAGATGGACTCTTCTCTGCGGGTCTATCCCTCATCCCCAACACAACCTCCAGCTGGGGAAGTCTGAGATCTTTTTTTTTCTTTTTAAATTTTATTTTATTATAGAGATGTGGAGTGCAAATGAGAATTAACTACATAAGTAGGCTGCATGCAGTTTGGGCTTCCAACGGGCCCTCACTCCCCCTGTTAGTGGACCAGGTGCCCTTTGTGTTGTCACCTGCCCCCTGGAAGTCCGAGATTTTGAAAAACTGGAGACAGGGACATAGTTCCAGAGTGCAGAGCCCCTCATTGCTTGCCCTGTGTCTCCTAGGTCTGTGACAGCACTAGGCACTGCCACTGTGAGGAGGGATGGGCACCCCCTGACTGCGCCACCCAGCTCAGAGGTAGTGTGGGCTGGGGGCAGGGGAAGCGGCTTGTGCTCACCCTTCTCCTCAACCCTCTTCTGATGACCCCTCCGCTGCTGGTTCCATGAGTCTGTGACCCCAGCCCCTTGACCCCTCTGGTCACTTGACTCCATGCCCCACCCCTGTTCCTCCATGGGGAGGGTTCTTAGCTCTGCCCGCCTCTAAACCTGACCTCACCTCTCAGCAGCCAGCTCCCTGACTACAGGGTTGCTCCTCAGCCTCCTGCTGCTCCTGGTTCTGGCGCTGCTTGGTGCCAGCTACTGGTACCGGGCCCGCCTACGCCAGCGACTCTGCCAGCTCAAGGGACCCAGCTGCCAATACAGGTACAAGCCTCACCTCCCTGCTACCAGTTCCTTCAATGGGGACAATTCTGGAGTCAGCCCTCACCTCTGCAGCACATGCCACTGGGTTCTAAGCCCTGAGCCCCCTGGACCCGACCTTGCTGACCACCACCCCCCTCAGCTCCCTTCCCTCCAATGCCAGTGGCTCTCCGCCTCCCACGTGTACCCCTCTGTGGGCAGCTGGGGTGCTGGGACCATTGCTTCCCAGGGGTCCCTGTGCTGGATAAGTGGGGTCCTCCCTCAGGCTGATCACCCAACCGCCACCATTTGACTTAAGCCACACACAGGCTCCTCTCTACTCAAGGATGGCGTAAGGTGGAGGTCAAGGTCTGAGGCTGGGTCCTCTCCCTCTTTGCCTTTCCTCATGCTCAGGGCAGCCCAGTCTGGTCCCCCTGAACGGCCAGGACCTCCACAGAGGGCCCCACTGGTGCAGGGCACTAAGGTGAGTCCTGGATGTGAGAGAAAAGGGGCTCCGCCTTGGCCTGACATCCAGCTTGGGCCCTGGGGAGGTGGGCATTGAAGACTCCAGAGAAATGCCAGCATTGCTAAGAGTCAGTTTAAGGAGTCAGGACGAGCCTTCCTTGACCCCCCCCCCCGGCTGCAGGCAGAGAAACAGAGTCCAGGCTGGAGTGGGGAGGGCCAGGCCACTGCATAGGGGGCTGCTGAGCTCTTTCAGCTGGCCAAGCTGGTGGCTTTGCGAGGTGGGTTTACCTGTGCCCCCAGCAGTGACCTCTGGAGGGCACAAGGGGGGTGGTGCTCAGAATGGCCTTCAGCGTGCCAGAACCTGCCGAGGCCCGGGTCACCATGCGTAGAGGGCTGGTGAGTGCCCCTGCCCCGAGCCTCTGCTCTATGACAGGAGCATGTGCGTGGCAGCGTCTGCATGTCTAGCCCACCACTTGTGACCCCCTCTGCATGCAACTGAATAACCGCATGCAGCACACCCACCGCCCCTGGGCCCTGGCTGTCCCTCCTTGGGCACTAACCCTTCTGTGTCCCGTCTGTCTCTCTGCTTCCTCTTCCCCCACTCTGTGCCTGTCCGCCCCTCCTGCTCTCTCAGCAGGCTAGTGCTCTCGGCTTCCCGGCCCCCCCCTCCAGACCGCTGCCACCTGACCCTGTGCCCAAGAGACTCCAGGTAAATCTGGGCCAGCCCCCGCCCAGAGCAGGTGGGAGGCATGGTGCCCAACTGCAGTTCTCATCCCTGCTCCCTGCCAGCGGTGCTCTTCGTTAGGTGACCAGGGTGCCCCTCAGCCTTCAGACACTCTGAGCCCCAGAAGCTCGGCAAAGGGTGAGCCTCCTGCCTTGGTTTCTACTACCATCTGGTGGTCAGTGGCGGGACTGCAGTCGGCCAGGGACTCCACGGTTGACCCACACCTCCCTCCCTTGAGACTTCTGCTGGCATGCCTCCAAGCCCTGCGCGCATGCCCTCCTTCTCTCCTGCCCGCTGGCTGACTTTGCATGACGACCTGAACCCCTCCGGGGAAGCGCTGCATGCTCACTGCCCCTGCCTGTGCTCTCACAGACACTGCCCCTCTCTCTGTTCAGGCTGAGCTGGCTGACCGACCCAATCCCCCCACCCGCCCTCTGCCCGCTGACCCGGTGGTGAGAAGCCCGAAGGTAACAGTGGGGGGAGAGAAGGGCACGGCCTCTCCCCCCACCTAGGGCTGTGGTGCTGGTTAGCCGTGGCGGTGGTGGCCGTGGCGAGATGACCCCTCTGTGCCCAAGGGCACATAATCCGGTGGTGCCTTTAATGGTGACAGGTTTGTTTGGAGACTAGGGTGACCTCTAGTGCTGCCCTCAAGCTGGTGTTCCCCAGCGCCAGTGCGTCGGGGGTGGGCAACATGACATCCTCCGCCCAAGCCGGCCTCCTGCCGTTTCTTCTTCAGTCTCTGGGGCCTGCCAAGCCCCCACCCCCGAGGAAGCCACTGCCTGCTGATCCCCAGGGCTGGCACCCATCAGGTGACCTGCCTGGCCCAGGAGCTGGAATCCCGCCCCAAGTGGTACCCTCCAGGTAGGCTAAGGAGCGCCCAGGACAGGTGGGCGGGGCAGGTGATCTGGAGCTAGGAGACCTCTGACCTTTTTTTCTCGGCTTCCGGCACTCCAGGCCAGCGCCACCACCCCCGGCAGTGCCTTCGCTCTACCTCTGACCTCTCCTGAGGTTCTGTTGCCTCCAAACCGGACTTAGGACTTAAAGGGGCCGGCCAGCTCCCTGGAGTCCCCTACCATGACTGAAGGAGCCGGAGCCTGGACGCGGAGGAACAGGCGTCTTAAAGCACCAGACGGCGCCGCGCGTTGTCAAGCAGCACTTTGGGGACCTGCCTAGTAGTTGCAGCCCTGGGTTGGGGAGGGGTTGGGGACTGGACGGGGCCGAGAGAGGTGCGCACAGCCTGTCTCTGCTCTGCTGCAATAAACGTGACATCTTGGGAAGGTGCCTTGGAGTTTGCTCCCGGAAGCCGGGTCGCGCCTGCTGCGCTTCCAGGTCTGGCCGCCAGGAGACGCTGCCGCCTCAGACGCGGGCGGGCTGGGGAGGGCGGGAGTCCCAGAACCGGTCAGCGTGTGTCCCGGGGATGCTGGCGGCTTGTTTCTGCCCCGGCTGAGACGGGTCTCAGCGCAATCCCGTACCGCAGGGACTTGTGCGCCCGTTACCACCCCTGGTCTCCCAGTCTTCGCCCCCCACGCCACGCTGCTCCCAGGGGCAGCTACTGACAAACCGGTCAAGCCGTCCCCACCCTCTGACCAGTGGCTGGGAAAAGTGGGTCTGGCTGGTTGGTGTTCCCGGAGCCCAGGAGCCGGGGCGGAGCAGGGCGGCGGCTCCCACGATCCCAAGGCCAGGCACCTGCCTCCTCCTCCTCCCCGCCCCCACCTGAGGGCTGGGAACAAAGGTGCTTTGTACAGGCCGCCACCGCCTCATTACTTCGTCTTCGGGCTTGGGGCCGCTTGGGCCCCTGGCTCAGAACGAAGATGTGGGGCGGAAAGGGGCAAACGCCAACCCTAAAGTGGGCATCCACCGCGCCCCCTAAGTCTCCATGGGCTAGAAGGGGTGTCCCGGAAAGCGTCTGATCCCTTCCTCTCGCACTATCCCTAGATGTGCAAAGAAAGAGGGTGCACGTCTGTATGAAGGAGCCCAGACAGGTTTCGTGGGTCCAGGCCTGTGCCTCACTTTCCCCTAATGAGCAAAGGTTGTTGGCTGTTGTTTAAAATCTTCCACGCTTCTGTAAGGCTGTGGACCCTGGACTAGGGCAGGCACGAAAGCCACGACCTCCCTAGAAATCCCCTTAGCGGGACACGCCCTTCCTCCCCACTCCTCGCCGGGTCGCGCGGCCTCGGCTCGGCGGGCCGCGCGCGCGGCGGTGCACAGAGGGTTAACCAGAGTTGGCCGTGAGCGGAGAGGAGGAGACGCGCTCCCATTGGCGAAAAGTTATCCAGGGGTGGGGTCTGCGAGTCTCCGCACCCCACCCCCGTCCCCCAGCCCCCCTCTCCACTTTGTACCTTGCTCGCCCCGACTGCG